ATATTAAGGACCGGAGGAGTATTAATAATAATCGAAGACCTTTAATTATTGAAATACCAGGACGGAAGGATTTGGTTTTTACTTGCGATCTAAAAAATAATTATTTCACAAATTTGCCCTTGTGACCAAATCTTTGATCCCCATGTCGCTTCCTTAATTAATTTGGGTGAAGTCTAAAGTCACACCCGACCTTTATATACTTGATATGATCATCTTTATCAAGTAAAGACAAAAATCATTGCGCATAATTTAGTGGTACAGAGCATGCTTAATTATCATATAATCACTTCTTACCAGTTCGGTTAGCGCACGGGATCTATAAGATACTTTCCAGTTGAACATGATAATTTTAAGTTCGACAAACTTCCCTCCTATTAATTTCTACGATAATGCAGTGCTGTCCTGTTCATGGTTTCAGTTTTGTGCAGGGATTACGGCTAGTCAGCTACTCGGCAAGCCTCGAGAAAAATGGAAGAAATATATGAAAGAAAAACTTGCCTCCTGTCATCAATTAAATCAGGTATAAATATAATTTTGTGGAGGTTGCCCAAACTTCTCTTTCTACAGAAGCAAGAAAGTGAAATTTACTATAGCTACTCTAACCAAACAGGAAACAACAATCCCCTACTCTTTGATGCCTCAGTCATATAGGCCATCCTGTTCCCAGACGTCCACCAGAAAATCTACCATTTCCTGTTCATATGAAAATGAGAAATCTCTCAAAAACAAAAACGAATTTTTGAGTGATTTGCAGGTTCATAGTTCAGAATCAGATGCTTACAGAAAGAGGGATGGGCTGAGAGAATGGCTTGTTGCTCCCAAGTAAACTTTCATACGTTGCATTCCAACTGCATTAACATGAATCTTAGCCCAAGTACAGACTATACGGCTTACGAGAAACAATAAACAAATTCACAGAGTTTGATCCCAAAAGAGAAATTCATCAGCCTATTTACCGCACTGTAATATTTTGGCACTGTAATATTTTTGCAATGCAAATACTAATGTAAAAGATCTAATATGCATTTGGGAAGTCTACGTTATGGGAAACATGCTCCTTACATAAGCAGCCATGATCCATTCAGCTGCAAACTAATACTTCCACAGCATAGCCTTAAAATAACAAGAGTAGCTTTCTCTTTTCTCCTAAGGTACAATCTCATCAAGACTTAACTACCAGTCAGCTACGTGCTAAATATAAAGAAGTGGACTGGCCTTTCTATGGTAAAACCTTGGGTAATTTACCTTAATTTAGGATCCAGTTGCCGTTTGGTTTGGTTATGATTGTGAGATCTATTATTTCTTACCCAACGTTGCCGAGTCCGAGTCAAAGAGAATATGACCTGCAAGAAAATAACCAAATAATTTTGGTTTTGCTTTCTCTTCTCCCATCCAAATATTTTTTTTATAAGAACAGGCAAGAGCAATAACCAACCATCGCACCGCTACCTTATTTTCCAAAATCAATGAAATACAAGGTAACATGGGAATATAAAAAGTCATAGAGATTGTTAAAGGGAAAATGCAAAATTGACTAAAGATGCCATGGAACCTGGTCAGTAATAAAAACACAATTTTAGATCAGAAGAAGAATCAGTCACCGAAAGCATTTGAACAGGGAAAAGGAGGCAACACTTTAGTCGGTCAAATATGAACCATACGTGGCTAAAAAAGAAAAGTACACGAAAAGTACTATTCCGACCTAGAAAGAGGTGGACTTAATAATTAAGCATGACGGCTCGTTCAAAAACAAAAAAATAATTAAGCATAACGATGAGTCATATAAGAATCCATCTTCCCAAAAAGAAAAGCAGGCACTGAGAGCATAAAGACACCAGGATAAAAGTACAACTTCTGGCAAAAGCTTAGCTTAATCATCACGTCTCACTAATTTAACTTTTCTTTAGCCACAACATTGCATTTTCCAGCCACAGCAACACCAAATATGGAAGCAGCAACCCCCAGTCGCGTCACTAAAGGAAAAGGGACAGTAACTTAATTATAGGGTTATCATCTTCTAGCTATCACCGCTCATGTCCAAGAAAATAATTACAGCATGCATACCAGTTTTGTCCTTTTTTTTGTCATAATTTTTTTAATCCAGATCAACATTAAAGTATCCAAAACAATTTAACAAAGTAGCTCCGGCTGAACAATAATAAAAGCAAGGAACCATACCGTGATTTACAAATTCAGCAGGATTACTGATTTTGCTAGAAGCACCATGAGGATCTAGCGCTTGGTTTGTCGCACTGGTTGATGAGATGCTTCCTTGTGACAGAACAGCACTATTGTCCATGTCATGTGTGCTTGTGGTCCAGAAATCCTCTGATGTACTGGCTTTCTTCAAAGCCTTACCTTGCATTGCCAACCCTTTCGATGGCATATCAACTGTGCTAATAACCGTTGGTTTTTTATGGCAACCAAGACAACCACTGCTCTGTTACAATGGCATTAAATTCTGTTATGCATCACAATATACTTTATGATAGTCTAAAACATCCACCATAAATTCAGACACAGAAGTCTTATAACTGCCAAAAGTTTCACAAGTACTGGAATGCCTTATGAATAAGAGTAAGTTTTGTTCCGCATCCATCTTACCAATGATAAAATTAATACCAAGTTATGATTAAGTCCGAATTTAGCACCAACCAATCAACAAAAGGCGGACTATGCTTAGAAACCACCTGTAAGTAAATGAAACGGGAACCGCATGTGACAGTGTACTCTATACTAATTTTCTACTGGGAGGATAAGGAGTGGAATGTGCTCATGAGAGCTCATGCTTATCTCTACAAGTCCTCTGATTACCAATAATTTAATCACAAATTGGGTTAGGCTTTGTCTTTTCCATAACTAAAACATCAATTTTCTATAGAATTCAGGAAAAAAGCATTCTTCTCATATATTTTATGACAAAATGAAAAGGCAAAAGGAATTATAGATTCACGCACACACTTAAATAAAAATAAAAAGCAAAAATACAGATAATTTTGACTTATTCAGACAGGATTGGAATCGAAAACGTACCCCATTCATTCAGTGTCTGAGATACCAAAAGCCAAGTAAGATCGACTGAGGGATATGGCGGAGATAGAATAGCAAGGAGCCAACTCCCAACTCCAAGAAAGGGGGGAAAAAATCAGAGCGCGAGCAATTCTGAGAATTGAAAACCAAAATGATTAAGAGGAAAAAACCAGGGAAAAGAGAATTGATAGAGCGAATCAAAAAGACACGAAGAAGCGATTGGGTTACCGTGGGAAAAGAATCAGAAGTTTGCCTTTGAAATTGTGTCGTGTTAATATGGACTCTTCGCTGCTGAAATCGATAGCTTCCCCCGTGATGTGAAAGACGTAGACGAGGGTGGCTTTTGGATAATTATTGGATTGGATTGGATTGTTGCTTCGCCTTCTCTTCCTCTTCTCCTCCGCTGGGATTTACTGGCAAAAATGGACAAAGCATGAAAAGGCAAGTGGGGGGGATTCTGATTCTGAATTACCGCCTTGTATTTAATTACTATTTTTTTGACCAAGCTGCTATTTAATTATTAGCTACTACTATAATCATAACAATAATGCAGTAGTTGGTAAAAAATGTATATTTCCATTCTAACATCAAACTAGTCAACTATTTTGGTTTTTAAATATTAATTAACTTAGCATAAAAATAATATTTATATATTACATATTTAATGTGCCAAAATTTTTATCTCTTCTTCACCAAAATTTTTTTTTAATCTATTTATCATTAATTCCTTCTAACTCACAGACAAATTTCGATCTCTGTGTCACAAGATTATATATCAATTATTTTTTCCATTTTAATTTTTTAGTTGAATATAAAATATTAAATTTATTAAAAAACTCACTTATTAACGTTTGTTATTTAGAAGATATTTGGATGGAATAAAACGATAGCTTTAAAAATATTTTTACGGTATATAAAATAAATATGTAGGGAGAGTTTATCTGAATTACAAAAAAGTGTTTTTAAAAAATATTTTCCTACTACCCAAATACCCCCTTAATATCTATAGGGTGTTTTATGTTCTACTGTACAAAAATTTTAGAAACAAGCGCTTAATAATACACTGTTACAACTTATCTTACAACCAAGGCATGGGGTAACAAGCATCTCTTATCTCATATGTAAAAAGTTACCAGTATATAACTAAAGTTAGCTATGTACTAAAAAACCGTGTGTTGATTTTTTCAAAAATATTTCTTTTGATAATTTGTATTGAAAACTACTATATTGATGAAAACTTTCTTGATGTCTATAATTAATATCCACAATTTATTAAAAAATTAAAATTATGTAAAAAAAAAGTGGATTAACTTTTTACATTTAAAATCAAATCAAAATAAATTTACTAAAACTTTATTAATGTCTATAATTAATATTTGTATTAACTTTTTACATTTAAAATCAAATCAAAATAAATATTAGCTTACTTGTAAATAATGCTGCACATATGCTGCTTAAGATAAAAAAAAGTAGTAGGTAGATGTAATATGTCTCGAATTAAATTAATTAATGGTAAAATTTTAAATAGTAAATTAAGGATATACGCGTTTTATGAGGCTTAATGAACACATTTTAAAGGCAATGTGAATTGTAATTAAGGTCCCAATACATAAAAGGGAGAGTCACCAACATTCCTTTCCGTCTCTAACAAGTAACACCTAATCAAGTGGCTTTGTGTTTTTACACAACTAATCAGACTTTACAGATAAAAAGTGAAGTAGATATGATTTATCATAAATTTGTTGCTTGCGTCTTCTTCCTGCTAATTCCTGCATTTTGCATTTGGATCAAATTTGGTTTTCAATAAAAGAAAATAATCAAGGCAAGGAAGTGAAGTTTTTGAGATTTTAAGCCAAGAAAATAAATGAAATAAATTTTTGTGTGGCCCAAATATGAGTGAATTCTAAAAATTAACCTTTTAATTTTATTGCCGTCTCTTAATTTCATTAAAATTCAATTGTAATTTTACTTCCTATAATTTTGTTTCCATTATAATTCAATGTCTGAATTTTACCCCACCAAAAGAACTCCGACATCCATGGCTGGAAATTTCTAAGATCAAATTGGCTAATAAATTATTGAAATATTACGAATATCCTAAAACATTCAAATGTAAAATTTGAAAACGTGTTGTCCTTTGCTAATTAATTATTCACTTGCTATTTATTATAGTTATTCGTAAAAGTCAACACTTATTTTCAAATTTTACAATTAGATGTTTTATAACACGTACTTCATTTCATTAGCTATTTATTATATTTATTAGCCAAAGTCAAGGCTTTTTAGTGACCAGTCATGCTGAGCTGGTCTTTTTAAGTGAAAGAGCTTTGGTACAATGAAATGATTTGGAATTATTGAAATTGAAGCCATTGATTTAAGATTTTGGTATTTTTCTGAAATTTTCACTTATTTAATCAATTATAAATATAAAATTAAATAAACGTTTGTCATATAGTTTATTCATTTCAAACTGGATGCAAGCTGTTGACTGGACTCAACTAACGAGTTTGACAAGCAAAATTTAAAAATCAGAAACAAACATTCATGAAGGATGGGACTTCCACCCTGTCACGGCCTTTAGTCAAAATACAGAAATGTCAACATCTTTCCTCCTCCATCTGTTTAGGCTGCGCCATATATGGGCTGCCTCCACCTGATCAATTTGGAAGACTTGGGTTGGGCTTAAGTTTTTTAATTGTTTGTTATATTTTATTTTGAAAAGTAGTAAGAAAATAAAATAAAATTTTGAGTGTCAAGTCTAATAGAAGAGGTTAGTCCCTCATAACGTAATGGATCAATATTTAAATCCTTACTAGAAGAAATACTCACATTTAATATCCGACAGTGTGTCGAACATGATTGTTTTTAATAAAAATATATGTATGTCTGGAAAAAAAGAATATTGATATAAATTATTTATATAGAAAAAGTTTTAATTTATGCTATTGTGTAAAATGAGCTAATACGTTGTGATTGATATAAATTTGGAGTAATGAAACTTTTCATCCCTCAAGTCCATTTTAATTATCCATCCGGTCCTAAAGTTTAACCAGGTGAAGTTCCTAAAGTTCGTACACAAGTTTATATTTTTATCTGGTATTCGTCAAATAATGAGTATATTATTCTTTTAATAATATTTATTGGTACTTGGTAGGTGCGTTAAATCTCAAGCTACCATGGATACATCATAAAAATGTTAAGGCTTGGAAATGTCTTTGATAGGGACATGGGGTATTAGTCACGGTCTCTAAATAGTATCACTAATATTTAATATAAGAGTTGATTTGACATCTAATTTGGTTATAACTATACTCCATTCGGTTCAAAATATAAGCTAAACTTTCTAAAAGGGGTTGTTTTTTTCATAAGATAACATTCACTTTTTTTTCAATTTTACCCTAATATATTCTCTTCCCTCTTTAAACTCATTTATTGCATCTTTTACTTATTCTCTTTGTTAATAAGGGTATATTAGGAAAAAACAAATATATGTCTTACACATTTATTGTTTTAAATTGATTTTAATTAGTTTCTTGAAAACCTAAATGAATAAAGTTTAGCTTATATTTTGAACCTGAAGGAGTAATATCTTAATTTACTCTGTCTCTTGTATTTATCTATTTTTTTAATATGGTCCTTATAATAGTTGCATATATTAAATGTTTCATTGAATAATAGTTTTAGCTATTACACATTATTAACAAAGGTATTTTAAGAAAGAAAGACAACACATATCTATTATAAATAGCTACCTTAATTAATTCTTTAATCTACTTAAATTAGTTAAATAATTCTTATATTGAGGATTAAAGGTAATATTATTTACATATAAAATAACATGGTTAGGTTTGTGTCGCAGACATGTTGAAATTTGGGAAGATAGGTCTAGATAGTTCTCATGATTTAAAATGTGCTAGTCAAGATGTTCAAAAATTACCCTCCATCAATGTCTAATTGAGACGAAAGGCTTCAAAGTCATGTATTGTGTAAGAGGAACTTACACACCCGTATGTTTTATTATAGAGATCAACTTCAATCTTATTGCTAAGAAAAACTTAAAAAAGATAGTTAGTGTGTTAGTATTCATAAATTTAGTTACCAGGCTAATCCTAGATACTATTATAAAAGAATTTTTTTAGGGATATTATGTTCCTATTCATAAGGTCCACTAACAATTTACTTGAAATTTTTAGTATTTCCTTCATTCCTATTTTCTTATTATAATGACCTCCTACATATTTCATAATATAATATATTTTATTTTAAGAATTAATGTTACATAATATATCAACTAATGATAAATCCTTTGAACTAATTAAATTGTTATTTCATGTAAAAATTGTTATTAGGTTTTATTATAAGAACAAAAAATATTATTTTATTTTAATTCCTCCATTAATTAAATTAGCCTTATTACTTACCAAAAAAAAAGATAGCCTTATTATATTATTCAAATAGGTCCTAATTATAAGACCCAATTGACTTATTTGAGGAGATTAAGGAAGTAATTAAGTTGGTTATTTATAATAAATAAGTGTTGTCATTTCTAAAATATTCCTGCTAATTAAGTATATTGGCTAAACTATCATTATTAATTATCTAAAAAACATGCATAAATAAAAAGAAAATGGATTGGGCTTATAATTAGACCAAATAAAAAGTCAAATTGGTCTTATAATAAGGACCGGAGGAGTATTAATTATCTCATTCACTTTTTTTTCCATAAATAAGCGTGTTTTTAAAAAAAGTTGTGTTTACATATATTTATTTTCCAACCCAATTTTCATAAATTGAATAATATTTTATAAAAAGGACATCACAAGTATAACTCAATAATGGTACCTATGTCCAAGCAAGTGAATCTAGAAAAAGAGGAGGGTGGGACAGCAAAATCTTCAATCTTTATTCGAAGTTATCAGAAGGATGACCCCACTACAAATCTTTCACATTTAATCTGCCACCCTCCCTCTCTTTATAAAATCTCAATTACATAAATGTAGAATTTATAATTCATCAAAAAAAAAATGTAGAATTTATAATCCATAAATCTATGTTAGTTCATACAGAAAAAAACTAATTATTTCCCAGAAAAAAGGTGCATGTAAATACGCTTTATGATGGAGAAAATTGATTTGATTCAATCATCATCAAACTAATAAATACTGAATTATTATTTATGTTTTTTTATCACTAGGAATTTCCATTATGAGCACTCAAAAGTAAGTTCTCTCAGGAGTATGGAAAAACCTTCCCACCTAAGTTGATTCTATAAGCAAGTATGAGTTAATGATTAACAATAATAAGATTTTCTTTTTATTTCTAATGATTTAATAATTAAGTTATGTTTAAAAACATTAGTACCAGAGAGACCGCTCATTACAGAACAGAGCGCAGAGCGTGCTTCAAAATTTACATTTTTCTGAATATATTTTCTTGGAGAATTATATCTAAACCAGTTTCCACTCTAATTTAGCCATATCGATATCTTTTATTTAATTTTTTTAATTTAAATAATCAAATTATTATTATTTGAGAATCAACTTATGTTTCTTGCCTTCAGGAGGAATTTTTTTTTTTTTACTTTCAAAAAAATATGCGAACATATTTAATATTATTTAAAAATTGGGTTAAACTTTTACAAAAATTCAAGGGGGCATGAACCCACTCAGCACTGCCTAATGATGCCATAATTCAATAAAAAATTATTGAGATTATAAAATATAAATATATAATAAATGCAGACGAGTTCATTTAATAAGACAACAATCAAATAGAAACACAATCCAAAATGTCCTTTAGTTATTTACAATCCCACACGACAGATTTTTCCCCTGCAGGGCTCTTCAGTCGTCAGGCTTCTCTCTTTTCGGTGGAGGTGAAACGAAGAAGGAAAAAAACAGAGGAGACAGAGCGTCAAAGTTTCAGATTCCTTATTCCTACGTCCGTTATTAAGAGCATTCGATCTTACGTACTCGGTCTCTCAAAATCCCATTATACAGAGCGATTCGGTTCGCTGGCATTCCCATGATCTCTTCAATTTCATCTCTGCAACTTCTTGATGCTCTGATTTGCTCCCTCTGTTCGTTCTCTGGCCCTTCACTTGCTTCCTTCACATTATCTGCAAATTGTACTTTCTTCTTCTTCTTCTCCTTCTTTCTCTCTACTTTCTTTTCCTCTGTAACATGTACAAAATGATTACCACAGCAATCACAAAGATTCTTCCAAATGAAGATTGTTACGATCAGCAAAAGAAGGAAAAAGGCAGAGGAAACCCATTACCTGAACACAAGCAAGAGCGTAGATTTTGTTTGGTAGAGTCCTGAGAATCGGAATTCCCAGAAATAAAGGACGATGGGGAAATGATTTTACTTGAGAAAGAAAGATAAAGCACAGTGCATGATGATAGAACCATGGCAGTGGTTAAAACAAGACCCTGCGACATGGAAGTCATATTGCAAGAACAGAGCTGTACGTTCAAGAACAGGGACGGTAAGATCGAGAAGCAAATCTATTATCTCAACAAAGAAAAGGAAGACTTGCATAAATAGAAAGTGGGTGGGTAGGCTTGAAAAGTATATGGGTGGAAGAAAAAGAAACTATAAAACTGAGAAAGAAATGAATGGGAATTTCACATGATGATTACAGGAATTGGGAAAAAAAATGCCACTAGTTCATTGGTTGTGGTTGACGTAAGCGTGGACGCAATGATCTGGAGATTTCTCTATGTGCTTTTGAAATTTGGTTTTGCTTTTGCTTATTTGGAAACTGGCAAGAATTTGGCAAAAAGATGCATGAAAATTCTTGATGTTGTTGTTTCTAATTCTATTGGCGTCTCGTCAGCCATTTACTTTTCATACTCAAATGATATTTTCATTTATTCAGTCATTTAATCATAAGTAAGAATCATGTTATGTTGAATGATTAGTTAATTGTCAAATATCTTCTAATACGATAAATAACATAATGCTTATCCAGTTCTAAATATAAAATGTATTTTATAACATAATTTACATAATAAAATACATATTATATTTAGGATTAAAATAATATCTATCAAGAAAATTTATTTTCATTACTTTCTCCGACTTATGCTTACTAGTATTATGTTTCGGTATTATCATGTAATTAAATTTTTCCCTTTTATATAATTTTCAAATTTTTATTTGGTTTTTAGGCGAGGAGAATTCATTTATCAAAAGAAAAATATACATTGGCGCTCTTTGACAAGACATTTTCTAGAAGGTTTCAGCATTGTGCTGTTTTAAATCTTTGTGAAAAGAGAAAAATGTTTTATTGAGAGAACTATGGAAAAGAAATCATTTTTAAAGATAAATTATTTTTTTCAATTTGTGTAAAATTAACAATTTGGTCTTATAAATAACAACAGAGGAAGTACTATAACATTAACATTCAAGTCTTTGACACTACCAAAAATTGCACAATTAGTTTTCCCCATTACACATCTCTATACGAATAGTCAAAAACACATTAAATTTCATTGCAACATCAGATGCTAAAATCATTAATACCTGCGCCATTACATCATTTGATTATTGGACATAACTCAAACACCCCAAAAAAAACAAAACCACAATAATATATGATCATGAAATAAAAGAAGACCAAAAAGAGAGAAGATAAGAATGCTGGAGTAATCATCAAATTGATTAAGTAGTGAGGATTGGTGGCATGTAGTCTGACTTGGCACCAAGAATACGAGCCTGTGTATCAGGGAAGAACTCAAAGCCTTGCAGTTCTTGAACTCGCCCTTCCCTAGAAATCTTCACAGGATATCGCAGCAAATGCCCTGGAAGATCTTCTTCAAATGATTCATCTGAGTACAATTCCCAGTACTTATCAGCCATCTGGTTCACCTTCTCCACACATTCTTCACTTTCTGGGTGATTGAAACACTCCTCCATCACCCCAAGATGCTCATACCACAACGCCATTCGGAATCCATGGATCTGTCCCCTCGCCGGCCCCCTGCTCGTCGCCAAATGATACGGCTGATATGCCCCCATCGCTATCTCTGTGTCCCTTGATCCATCCATTGACCTCTGGTTTATGTTCGCAGATCCCACGATTATGTACTCATCATCCACTGCACAATATTTATATGTTACTTATGACTCAAGTTAATTAACCTGTAAGAATAATGAATCTTCGTACGAACCTATCATCATCTTGGTGTGAACATAAATCATGAAGCGACGAGCTTTCTGGGCTTTTTCATAAGGGGTATCAGGTTCTGGTTGTTCCGGTGGTTCATACTCGCCGTCTCGTTTCACTTCTCTGTTTCCCAGACAGAAGAATGTTAAGTACTTGCGAGGATCTTCCCTTATTCCCTTTGCCTCCAAAGCTTCGACAATGTCTTTATACATTGTGTCCATCGTTCTTCTCTGCCAATCTAATATTGCCTGCACGGAGCCGCTGTCTGGTATGCCCTCCGGCCACATCGGAATCACCACGTACACCGTGAATCTCTCTCCTGCTTCGATCTTGCTTACGATTTTCAGTGATAGTTCTTTGGGTATGACGTGAAGTGCGTTAATTTCTTCCGGCTTTATGTCGCCATCTTCAGCGCTCCACGCATATGAGCTTCCCAGAAAATACTGATTCTCTATGTATATGAACTTCCTCGCTCGTCTTATTGCATGGATATATGCATCTTGAATGCTTCTGTCTACGATGTTTTTTTTCCCACTCACGAGCCCGGCGTCGGCTGCTTCTTCTGGGCTATCTGGGAAGCCAAAGGCAGCGCCGCCGTCGATGGATCGGAACAACTGAACATTCCACGTCTCGTGATCCTCCGGGAACATCACCGGAGATGGCGGAATAACTATCTCCTCGAGCTCTCCATGGGAGACGAGCACATCCTTCCCTCCTTGCTTCTTCCATCTCTGTTCAAAATTAAACAAAACATCCCAAGCAACGGGTCCTTCCAGACGCGAATGTATATCGTGCCACGGCTCCCGGGGTCCACCTTTGTTGATGTCGGCGCCGGCGAAGTTAGGTTGATGAAAGTCATCGTGATGAGCAGTGTCCAACGTTCTGAAAAGTGAATGAAACGCAGTGTCGTATCTTCCGTCGCATAAATCAAGCCCACCGACGAAACTCGCTATTCTTCTCTTGCTGGACGACCCTCGTCCCGGAAGCTCACCGTCCACCACCACGATCTTCTGGTGATGAGTGAACATGGTGGAAATCTGTACGTCCTGTATTATACTCCCGGCACCTTCGTCGGGATCACGAGGGCATAAAACACAGTGAACTGGAGTATCTTGAAAGAATTTCTCAGTTTCTTCATCATGTGTTGCCATTAACCCGTCCTTTTTTAACAGACTAACAGAAGTTCTATCGTCCCAAACAAGCATCAAAACCTTAACCCCTTCATTTGCTTTATCTTTCAGAAGCTGTCCTAGTGTCATGTGACCTCCATCTTTTGGCCTCTTAGCATCTCTCACTAGTTTAATCTCAGTGTAAACAGACCAACCAGTGATGTATATAAAGTGCTTTGCATTTCTAATTGCGTCGAAAACATCTTCCCAACATCGATGAGGTTCATAATACTTGTCTTCTGAGAGGGGGATTCTGGGAATGAAATCTTCAGGGACATGAGCGTCATGGTACAAGGTAACCTTACAACCTTGTCTTTGTGAGAAGAAAGTGTAGGGTACTCCTGGGTATTTAGGGCTCCGAATGCCTCGATTCCAGTTTCTGTCTTTTGTGACGTCGAAGTATTGGAGCTTGACGTGGATTTTGGAGCCGATGGGTTCTTTTTCTTCGTTTAAGATATCGAGCCATTCATCGTAGGTGTCACCGCCGATGATGTTGTCGACGGGGACGTAGGCTCGTCCGATTAAGGTGGCGCCGATCTTGTTGACGCCTTTGACGGTGAAGATGACGTTGGATGCGACGTGGGCACAGTATATGTGGAAAGATTCTTGCCATCTGAGACTGGAATCTGTGTTTTCCAAAACCCTGGTTCTTCCCACTCTTGCTTTCTCCAGATCAATGGTTGCGTACATTTGGGATGATCCCTTCCCTACACCAACCGTGTCCTCGATTTTTTGCTTAAGCTGCAATATTAGCACCGAGATAATTATCTTAAATTTCACACCATATTCAGGAAGTCCAGTTTAATTAAAAGTAAAATCAGTATTAATCTATAATACTCCTTCTATTTTTAATATAAGATCTAATTTAGAATTAATATTAGTTTTATATTTAAGACCTATTTCACATGTTTGTTATTTTTTTTTAAATTAATTTTATTGATATTCGACAACAATATATAATTAATTAAGAGAGGAAGGAAGGAAAATTAAAGAAGATGTTAGATATTTAAAAAAAAATATTATATTACTAATTTAACAACACCCTTAACCTATTCAAATGAATTAATTAGGTCATACAATAATTAAGCCACACTATTTTTTTTTAATTTAGAGAAACAAGCACTAACGAATTGAAGTTATAAGTAGATCGGATCAAATCCATGACCTTCTATTCATAGAAAAAACTTTCATGCAATTAGGCTTTTAGCACTGTTTAAGTGTCTATAAGTTATAATAGCAAAGTTTATTCATGAGACCCAGCTAAGTTATAAACTAATGCTGATGATGACTTTTTTTAAGTTAAAGTGAAAAAATAAATTTTAAAGGTTAAATTTTAAAAAAATGTGATATAAATTAAAGGACTCAATTCTTATGCAATAGTCTTGGTAAAAGAATTCTTATGTAATAATTATTATGCATCAAAATTTTGTATATATAATAATTAAGATATCAAATTGAACATAATAATTAAGGAGCCAAAAGTGGCTGTCTTTTCCAATTTAATGAAATCTTCATTGATTTAATTAAGTCATGGTAATAGAGGTAAATAAAACTGAGCATCAACGTGAAGCAATAGAAAACATAACCAAACCACACTTAACTTGATATGCTAATTAATTGAAATGACAAATAAGAAAATGAAACAAGATCAATAGGGTAATTGGATGACTTATTAGGTGCAAACGTAAGACGAAAACTGGCACTGGAAGAATCAAAAAGCCAAAAATTGTCGAAATCAGACTCCAAGAAGGGTTAAACAAGAAGATTAATTAAATTGACAAGAAGACAAACATGGAATTAATAAATATTAATTAAATGATTACCATGCCGAAAATACTGCTATCTTCACCAGCATTTAGCTTATCCACCTCATGAATGGTGGCGTGGAGTGTCCCATGAAGATGAGTTTCTGCCATTAATTAATTTATCAATTAATTATCTCTCAACCTGCAACACAATTCAGAGAAAACCAACACAAATTAAAACCCTTAATATGTCATTAATCATACTTAGTTGGCCACTTCAGTAATAGAGAGCAACATACACAGCAAGAAAATATATCAGAAAGAAAAAACTCACAGAAAAGAGACAATAAACTTGTTGAAGAGAGACAGAGATAAAGAGAGATGAATCAAAAGAGAAAAGAGGATCAGAAATAACTGTAATACAAAATAATCATGTGGTGTTATATTCACCAAATGGCAAAGACAGATCCTACAAACATGCGGCTTTTGAATTGATATTGACTAATTAAACCTCAACTCAGGACCAGAAAAGAAAGCAAAAACAAATATTAAACAATTTATATTAATCCGATGTCCAAAATATAAAAATTATCCGGTCCTAATTATAAGACCCAATTGACTTATTAGGAGATTAAGGAAGTAAGTTAAGTTGGTTATTTATAATAAATAAGTGTTGTCCTAAAATATCCTTGCTAATTAAGTATATTGGCTAAAACTATCATTATTAGAAGGAGATATCTTGAAAACAAAATACATAAATATAAGAGAGAAAATGATTAGGTCTTTATAATTAGGACCAAATAAAAATCAAAATGGGTCTTATAATAAGGACCGGAGGAAGTATATGGTATCATGAACACTGAAGAGAAGTTAAGGTCACATCAATGTTGAACCAAACAAGAAAATGGACCACATAATATCTTTTTCTGAATTTATAATATAAGTTAGTATGCCAATAATTAATATATATAGTTCATTCGATCAAACTTTTTATGGGAAAAATTTGTTTATTTTATTTTCAGAAACATTTCATTTAATTAAACTAGGCCTTTGTCTTTATATATGGTCTGTAATTTATTATTAATTTAGACATTTTTTAACATCTGTACTGTTAAGATAATATAAATTTCCAATATATATTATGTAGATGTTAAGTTCTTGGAATTATGTCATCATCGTAATTTATCTGATTACCTTTTGGACCATCAAGATCACATAAATGCATATTTTCTGCCGACCATGTGCATTCAAATTAATGGTAGCAAAAATGATATATATATATATATATATTTAAATGTTCTAACTTTATTATAAAGCTCCACCAGTAGAATTAAGTACACATTCGGAACTTCAAATTAAACGTCTAACATTTTCTGGCAAAAGGAAATGACTGTTAACTAATTAATTCCAATAATAATCATAAAAATTATGAATCTATTTAATAATCTATATAAGTAACTCTTTGTGCCATCAATGCAATTTTCTTCATTATAAATTTATTGTCATTACCAAATCAGTTAAAACTATAAAAAAAACCTGTAAATTACAATAAAAAGAAGTTAATTCCACTCACTCATCAATAAATCATACTACTATTTTTTAATAAAAAAACTCTTCTTAAAAGCATAGTTTAGTTCATCCACCCCCCTCTTTCTGCCATTACTGCAATTCTTAGTGTTTTCTGTCAAATTAATTTGGTCCAGTCTCTTTGGCCAAGGCCTAGAATTTAAATGCTTTAGACTTCTCTCTACGTACATGGAGAAGCTACATTGCAGAAAGCTATTTCACTGTATTACCCTAATCCGTGAGGGGAATTAATTACTGCTCCATCAATAGAATTTGATTTAATTTTTTTTTGTGACAGAAAAAATAATTAATTAATTATATTACATTTACATTTGTACAAGACAGGACCATTATATGAAGACTTGGTCCAGTTTGTATTATTGCCATAACTGATTAAAAACCTTCAAGTACGTATTAACATTGCTATTAATAATAACCAGCAATTAATTAATTATATATCTAATTAATTAAACCTACATCAAATTAGGGTTCTCATTGAGGATATAAATTTGACAGCTCTAGTACAATTCATTCCTCATGCAAGGGTGGGTGAGGGAAAAAGACTAATTTTGCTGAATATTAGATTGGTAGGTCATATAAATATAAATATATATACATATATATATATATATAATTTGAGAGTGGTAAAACGTTCAGGTCTCTCTTATAGGTCAGCAATTAATCATCAAGTTGTGAGATTAACTAGAATTAGAATCTAATTTCTTTTTGGCTGCTCGAGAATTAATTCATAATTTTTGAAGGACCACCAAGTAAAATTTAGAGGAGGCAGCAGAATTGTTAGGCTAAAATAGTGGAAACAAGCCAGACGACCCTAAATAATTGAATCTATATTTGCTGTGCATGTAATTAATTTTCTGGGGTCAGAAAGTTGTACTTAATCAATGACCGACTCCGATCTAGTTAGTAACCTCCATCATTACTCCAAGCCATTAATAAATCTTTGAGCAATTATTTTATTTATAACTTATATACATATCCCATATATATTCTTTTTAAATAATTAATTGATAAATCCAAATCTTCAATTATATGTTTAGACAGGTGAAGTTAAAAAGCTATCTCTTTGGCTACATGTGCGAATTATTTCAAAATCAAAGTGCTAAGTGAAAAATGGCATTATTAATTGGACGTATAAAAGCTAAATTAAGCAAAGAAGAAGCATGCATATAATGTTAACTTTTGCTCATCCAAGCCAGCAAGTAATATGGCGAAGCATATAACTCTAGGTATAGTATGAGAGGGAGAGAAATTTTCGTTTTGTTGTTGACTTATTTTGGAGTTATATTATATAGGTTGAATTTTAAACAATTGTTATAGTATGAAACTAGCTAGCGTATGATGTCTGGCTATCTACAAATTGTCTGCTTAAAGAATTTCCACCTCGCATGTTGATGGGAAAAAAAAACATATTTTTATAGTCGGGGGCAGAGCCAAAATTTGAGAATGAAGGGGGTGCCATACTAAAAGGCAGGTATAATATAAAGTCTATGTAAATTTTAGGATAAAAAATACATAAAGGGGAAAAAATTTAACACTATGGGGATGGACCCACCAGTGTTCCCCTTCGCCACCTCGGTCTACAATATATACTCCATCTGCTCTATAATATAAGAAGTTTTTTTTGAAGAAAATTTTAATTCAAAATATAAGAGATTGATAAGGTAATTAATGATAGTTTTAATTTCACTTTCACTCTAGGAGTAGAGAGGTTTTAAATGCAGAAGATCAGAGAGAAGAAAATTTTCTTATTACATTATTTAGTAAGGGTAAAATAGGTACTTTCATCAATTTGAAATACATCTAATGACTTAATTAGTACTCGTTAGTTTGTGAAAAGACTTAGTTAATGTCTTATATTATGGGTCAGAGGGAGTGTGGGTGTATGTATGTGCACTCGCGAGCCAAAATTACTATGCAGTTTCACATAAACAATATAATAACTAAAAAGTCTCTTGGATTATTGTCAATATGCCATGATTTATTGTCATTTTCTGCACCATATTTTGTTATCGTCATGTTGCTCACTTGTTGTAAAACTTTTTAACGATTAATTGTTAGTTATGTGGGACCGCAAGATTTTTTTTTTTGAGGCAAAATTTGGGTCAAGTTACTTATAATATCTATTATACTAAATTCATAGATGAATTTACTAGTGCACATATGCATTTTATTAACTAACAATAACAAAATAACAAGTGTTTATATTTCATTGATGAATTTATAAATATACATATGCATTTTAACAACCAACAATAGTAACATTACAATTTTCTATATCAAAATTTAAAAGCCCAAATTTACATTGTGAGAGTTAATACAAAATTTTACAAGTGCTCATTGGTGGATACCCAAATGCACATACGCATTTTAACAATCAACAATAACAAAATAACAAATCTAATTTAATGGATGTAGATAAGTTGATCTAAGAGTCCTCCCCCCTTTCTTCGTATATAATAACTTAAATAAAAGTTTAGGAAACTGAAATTACAAAATTGCCACGAAATTACATTTACTCCTATAGAAAAAGGGGAGGAATATTTGGTGGGGTGGCCACAGAAGTGCAATAAGTATATATTACCTCTGGTCCCTAATATAAAAACTCGTTTGACTTTATTTTGGTAATAAATATAAGGACACAATTCACTTTATTTATCATATTTATCTTTTTTTTCCTTAAGTAATCCTGTAATAATGGTAGTTCTAGTCAATACACTTAATTAAAGATATTGAAAACAATACCTATTTATTACAAATAATTTAACGCTTTCTTTTTTTATTTATTCAAATTAGTCGACTAGCTCTTATATTAAGAACCGGAGTAAGTATTATATGCATGATTGAAAAAAGATGTGTTTGAGACTTTTGCTGTGGACTGGAGGAGGAATTGGGATAACGTGAGGCGTTTGTTTGTTCCTTTTACTATTCATCTCTTGTGTCCTTGTCTTTAAGGGCACCCCCACCCTCCTCTCTTCCTCCTTTTGAACCACATAAGTAATAATATAAAGCACGACTACGCATCCTTCCCTTTCTCATTGTCCCACGTAAACGACAATCCACCTTCCCTCTTACGACAACTACGTTTCATTCATAATGTATCTTCGTCATTGCCCCCACTTCCCCCCTCCTTTTATTCTCTCTTCTTTTGTTTACCTTAGTTACCCTCTTCTTGTTTCCACTTTTACCTCGCGCGCCTCTTCTTTTTCATTTCATTAATATTATTGTTCCACCAAAAATTTCGAGTTTTGAATATACTACTCTCTCCGATATTCCTTTCTATAAATTCAAATTTTTTAAATTAATCTAATATTTTTATAAGATTAAATTTGATATTATTATCTGAACATTAAATGCATTTTTTAATCAATTTTACCCATAATTCATTGTGTTATCTTTTTTTTTTCATATACATTCTCTTTCATTTTTATTCTCACTATTCTTTTTCTCATCCACCTTCCTATATATAAGCGTGTATTTAAGAAAAAAGGAAATACAGTTCTGATAATTTGTTGCTTTGAACTAAAACTAACAGATTTCTTGAACCACATAATTATACTAATAATCTTATAAAAAGGAGCTAATGT